AGATATTAAACAGACGTTAAACAGACATTAAACAGACATTAAACAGACGTTAAAAAGATGTTAAACAGACGTTAAACAGGCATTAAACAGATATTAAACAGATATTAAACAGATATTAAACAGACATTAAACAGACATTAAACAGGCATTAAACAGACATTAAACAGGCATTAAACAGACATTAAACAGACATTAAACAGACATTAAACAGGCATTAAACAGATATTAAACAGACATTAAACAGACATTAAACAGACGTTAAAAAGACATTAAACAGACGTTAAACAGACATTAAACAGGCATTAAACAGACGTTAAACAGATATTAAACAGACATTAAACAGACATTAAACAGACGTTAAAAAGGCGTTTAACAGGCATTAAACAGATATTAAACAGACATTAAACAGACATTAAACAGACATTAAACAGACGTTAAACAGACATTAAACAGGCGTTAAAAAGGCGTTTAACAGGTATTAAACAGACATTAAACAGATATTAAACAGACGTTAAACAGACGTTAAACAGTCATTAAACAGACGTTAAAAAGATGTTAAACAGACGTTAAACAGACGTTAAACAGGCATTAAACAGACGTTAAACAGGCATTAAACAGGCATTAAACAGACATTAAACAGATATTAAACAGGCATTAAACAGGCATTAAACAGACATTAAACAGACATTAAACAGACATTAAACAGAGATTAAACAGACATTAAACAGACATTAAACAGACATTAAACAGACGTTAAAAAGATGTTAAACAGACGTTAAACAGGCATTAAACAGATATTAAACAGATATTAAACAGATATTAAACAGGCATTAAACAGACATTAAACAGACATTAAACAGATATTAAACAGATATTAAACAGACATTAAACAGATATTAAACAGACATTAAACAGACGTTAAACAGATGTTAAACAGATATTAAACAGATATTAAACAGGCATTAAACAGACGTTAAACAGACATTAAACAGGCGTTAAACAGGCATTAAACAGACGTTAAACAGGCATTAAACAGGCATTAAACAGACGTTAAACAGACATTAAACAGACATTAAACAGACGTTAAAAAGATGTTAAACAGGCGTTAAACAGGCATTAAACAGACATTAAACAGATATTAAACAGATATTAAACAGACATTAAACAGACATTAAACAGGCATTAAACAGACATTAAACAGATATTAAACAGGCATTAAACAGGCGTTAAACAGGCATTAAACAGACATTAAACAGGCATTAAACAGACATTAAACAGATATTAAACAGGCATTAAACAGGCGTTAAACAGGCATTAAACAGACATTAAACAGACATTAAACAGACGTTAAACAGATATTAAACAGGCATTAAACAGGCGTTAAACAGACGTTAAACAGACGTTAAAAAGATGTTAAACAGGCGTTAAACAGGCATTAAACAGGCGTTAAACAGGCATTAAACAGGCATTAAACAGGCGTTAAACAGACATTAAACAGACATTAAACAGACGTTAAACAGACATTAAACAGACATTAAACAGACGTTAAAAAGATGTTAAACAGACGTTAAACAGGCATTAAACAGGCGTTAAACAGGCATTAAACAGGCATTAAACAGACGTTAAACAGACATTAAACAGACATTAAACAGGCGTTAAAAAGATGTTAAACAGGCGTTAAACAGGCATTAAACAGATATTAAACAGATATTAAACAGATATTAAACAGACATTAAACAGACATTAAACAGGCATTAAACAGACATTAAACAGGCATTAAACAGACATTAAACAGATATTAAACAGACGTTAAACAGACGTTAAACAGACGTTAAACAGATATTAAACAGACATTAAACAGACGTTAAACAGATATTAAACAGGCATTAAACAGACGTTAAACAGACGTTAAACAGACGTTAAACAGGCATTAAACAGACGTTAAACAGGCATTAAACAGGCATTAAACAGACGTTAAACAGATATTAAACAGACATTAAACAGACGTTAAAAAGGCGTTTAACAGGCATTAAACAGATATTAAACAGACATTAAACAGACGTTAAACAGACATTAAACAGGCGTTAAAAAGGCATTTAACAGGTATTAAACAGACATTAAACAGATGTTAAACAGACGTTAAACAGACGTTAAACAGTCATTAAACAGGCATTAAACAGATATTAAACAGACGTTAAACAGACATTAAACAGACATTAAACAGACGTTAAACAGACATTAAACAGACATTAAACAGGCATTAAACAGATATTAAACAGACATTAAACAGGCATTAAACAGATATTAAACAGACATTAAACAGACATTAAACAGACGTTAAACAGACATTAAACAGACATTAAACAGACGTTAAAAAGATGTTAAACAGATATTAAACAGATATTAAACAGATATTAAACAGACATTAAACAGATATTAAACAGGCATTAAACAGACATTGAACAGACATTAAACAGATATTAAACAGGCGTTAAACAGACATTAAACAGACATTAAACAGACGTTAAAAAGATGTTAAACAGACGTTAAACAGGCATTAAACAGATATTAAACAGATATTAAACAGATATTAAACAGACATTAAACAGACATTAAACAGGCATTAAACAGACATTAAACAGGCATTAAACAGACATTAAACAGATATTAAACAGACATTAAACAGACATTAAACAGGCATTAAACAGATATTAAACAGACATTAAACAGACATTAAACAGACATTAAACAGACGTTAAACAGACATTAAACAGACGTTAAACAGACATTAAACAGGCATTAAACAGACATTAAACAGATATTAAACAGACATTAAACAGATATTAAACAGGCATTAAACAGACATTAAACAGACATTAAACAGATATTAAACAGACGTTAAACAGACATTAAACAGACATTAAACAGACGTTAAAAGACGTTAAACAGACGTTAAACAGACGTTAAACAGACGTTAAACAGGCATTAAACAGACGTTAAACAGGCATTAAACAGGCATTAAACAGACATTAAACAGATATTAAACAGGCATTAAACAGGCATTAAACCGACATTAAACAGACATTAAACAGATATTAAACAGATATTAAACAGACGTTAAACAGACATTAAACAGACATTAAACAGACATTAAACAGACGTTAAACAGACATTAAACAGACATTAAACAGACATTAAACAGGCATTAAACAGATATTAAACAGACATTAAACAGGCATTAAACAGATATTAAACAGACATTAAACAGACATTAAACAGACATTAAACAGACATTAAACAGACGTTAAAAAGATGTTAAACAGATATTAAACAGATATTAAACAGATATTAAACAGACATTAAACAGATATTA